GTGAGGGATTGTAGGTAATTTGCAAAAGTAATACTGTGCAGAGTTTGAGCTTGTGATTGCATGCATCGCATGTGTACATCCTCCCAGCAGGTCCTCCATTTGCAGCATGGGGGCAGCACACTGTAAGGAAGGACTCACATGCAATCTCTACCTAAAGTATCATGTTTTTTGGAAGACAACACACCCAAACAAAGTGTCTCTCTTGTGTTTTCCCAGTAGCTTCCCAGTTGCTATTAATGTTAGTTAAGTGCCGACTCTCCCTCCTGAATGAAGATATTTGTAGTGTGATCCAATTTTGCACATGACTCTGTAAATGACCCACTTGTGTGCCAGGCTGAATGGGCTGAAAGTAGTTCTGAAGCAAATTGTAAGGAGCATGGAAGTTCTTTCTCCTTATGTATACCAGCCATGTAAGCCCTTTTTAGTGCAGCTGTGCTGTTTTTCATTTGGTTTCTTTTCATTTGTAGATGAGCAGTGTTGATGTTTTATTTCTGTTTTGTAAACTACCTGATAATTTTTGCAGTGGTAAGTGGCATGAAGATACATTTAAATAAAACAAATAAATATTTTCCATCTGTCTAGGGGAAACTGAGACGGTTGTGGGAAATTTTAAGAGCCTCAGTGATTTGGTCAATAACCCCGTTGTAGGATATTTTAGAACTGGAAAAGATCCATGAAAGGCGACCAAGAGTCATAAGAAACACACATATGTACACCCATAAACAATTGTAAACAGTGGTTTGAAAAGGCTTTGAAATTCAAGATGTAGTTGATACTTCTTATGCAGAGCACAGAGGTATAGAATTGTGTTGTGTGTTTACAATAGTAATCTGTGAGAATTACATCATTCTACCATACCTCGTTTTATTTGGATGAGTGTATATTTGCAATTGGACGCAGGTGGCGCTGTGGTCTAAACCACAGAGCCTAGGGCTTGCCGATCAGAAGGTCGGCAGTTCGAATCCCTGCAAAGGGGTGAGCTCCCGTTGTTCGGTCCCAGCTTCTGCCAACCTAGCAATTCGAAAGCATGTCAAAGTGCAAGTAGATAAATAGGTGCCACTCCAGCAGGAAGGTAAACGGCGTTTCCGTGCGCTGCTCTGGTTTGCCAGAAGCGGCTTGGTCATGCTGGCCACATGACCCGGAAGCTGTCTGCGGACAAACGCCGGCTCCCTCGGCCTATAGAGCGAGATGAGCTCCGCAACGCCAGAGTCGTCCGCGACTGGACCTAACGGTCAGGGGTACCTTTACCTTTATGTTTGCAATAAATTTTGCCGTATATTTGTGTTCTGAGCTTACTGTGTTATGCCATTCACCTGCTTCTGAAGCGCCAGCACAATTCTGACTTTCTTAGCAGATTCCCGCTCGGCTTCCCTGTAACTGTCACCAGCACTTGACAACTCTTTGATTTGTAGTATTCCACTTCACTTCTTCTGTGCTCTGTTTTTCCTAGTAGTTTCATCTTTGGAAAACAGACTACAACACTTCAGAGAACATTACCTATTGTGTGTTGCTCTCAAGTCATTTTAAATATAGAAACTCGGGGATTATCATTTCCCACTCTCTTCCCTACATATAAGAGATAAGGAGTTTGTGGTGAGCACACTTGTTTCCTCCCTTTGCTCTAGGGGTAGGGGACCTCTGGCCTGCAGACAAGTGTTCACCTGCTGGGTAGTCCAATTTTGCCCACAAGGCCATTTCTTCAAAACTACACCCAACTGTCAGCTGCTGCCACTGACTGATGGGCAGGGGAAGGTTCAGTCCTGCTGGGATTTGCCTTCCCAGTGTCCCCATGTGGGATGCACTGATGAAGTAGATCCCTGCAGAGACCAAAATTCAGTCCTCCACTCATCAGCTGGTGAGCAGAGTGTTTAATCCTGCTGTGCCAGCTTCTCCAGTTTCCTTGTCAGATGTTGAGGGGAGATGAAGATCCAGCCCACCAGGCCAAAAAGTTTCCCTACTTTTGCTTTGCTCTCCTTCACCGGTACAAAAATTCCCTCCCTCTCGTTTTCAGCATTAATTCTGTCAGTACCAGTTGGTTGCACCAGTTGGTTGCAAATTGAAGATAAAGACAACCATGGTGTTAACCTTGGTGTGACGAACACTGAAAAAGGAAAAGAGAATTTGTTCAGAAGGGGTGTTTGAGCCTGCCTTGTGCTCCTTATTTTGACTGTGGGTAAGAAGGCCACTGAGATTGCATATTTAAAATGATTCTATCTTATCTGGACAACCATTGTTGATTATTTGTCCCTGTTGGTTTTGGTGCAACCTGAAATCTGTTTTGCACCTAGCAGACCAGACTGTTGTTGTTGTTGTTTAGTTGTGTCCTACTCTTCGTGACCCCATGGACCAGAGCCTCCCTTAATTCTTCCTTCTCTCCATTTTAAGACTGTGACAGATTGCTTACTTTGGGACTTTCATTCCACCCTCCATTTTCTTACCTGCTCCCTTTTCTGTTTTGCTTAACATCTCACCTGAAGAACAGTTCTGGAAAATTCTGTAACTTTCTTACTACTGTTCAACGTGGGCGTTGCCCTAGTGAGGCTTTTGCATTCTGCATTGTCTTCAGTGTTGGTGTGCCTTGGAAAAATAATAATAATGGATGAGCAAGCTTTGAATGTTGCCTCTGCTGCTTTGTTGCTATTTACCCCTCATTTCTCCACCCTGGCTTTCCTTCTTTGGGATCTGTGCCTTGTACTCTCTCTTCTAGTCTTGTTTCCTTTCTTTTTAATTCCTCCCAATTATCCTCTTAAATGGACGCGGGTGGCGCTGTGGGTTAAAGCCTCAGCGCCTAGGACTTGCCGATCGAAAGGTCGGCGGTTCGAATCCCCGCGGCGGGGTGCGCTCCCGTTGCTCGGTCCCAGCGCCTGCCAACCTAGCAGTTCGAAAGCACCTCCGGGTGCAAGTAGATAAATAGGGACCGCTTACCAGCGGGAAGGTAAACGGCGTTTCCGTGTGCTGCGCTGGCTCGCCAGATGCAGCTTTGTCACGCTGGCCACGTGACCCGGAAGTGTCTCCGGACAGCGCTGGCCCCCGGCCTATAGAGTGAGATGGGCGCACAATCCTAGAGTCTGTCAAAACTGGCCCGTACGGGCAGGGGTACCTTTACCTATCATCTTAAATAGGGCTCACTAAACATAGTGAACCCAATATCCCCCCTTCCTCACCTATTTGCCCCCCCCCCATTTTTCTTGCTCTTATTATTCTCTGAAGCCAGCTATTTGACCACTTCCCCCAAATTCCTCCCTTTCTTCCCCCCTCCCAATTGTCTAACTGGCTGTTGTTACCTGCATTCCCACTCTCTCTCTGACAAGTAAATACAAGATCAACCAAACCACTAGCTTACTGAAACACCAGCAAAGAATGTATTTTGACTAGTGTGCAGCATTCCAGGCTGTTCTTTGGTTGACATCTGCTGGGAGGGCGTTCCACAGGGAGGGCGCCACTACTGAGAAGGCCCTCTGCCTGGTTCCCTGTAACCTCACTTCTCGCAGCGAGGGAATCGCCAGAAGGCCCTTGGGGCTGGACCTCAGTGTCCGGGCTAGATGATGGGGGTGGAGACGCTCCTTCAGGTATACAGGACCGAGGCCGTTTAGGGCTTTAAAGGTCAGCACCAACACTCTGAATTGTGCTCGGAAACGTACTGGGAGCCAATAAAGATCTTTCAGGACCAGGGTTATATGGTCTTGACGGCCGCTCCCAGTCACCAGTCTAGCTGCCACATTCTGGATTAATTGCAGTTTCCGAGTCACCTTCAAAGGTAGCCCCACATAGAGCGCATTGCAGTAGTCCAAAGAATTTTGGTTGCTCCAGCACAAATTTCATGAAGCAATGTGCGAACCTCTTTAAGATTATAGAATCTTAGAGCTGGAAGGGATGGAAGGGACCCAAGGGAGTCCAGCCCCCCGCAATTCAGGAATCTCAGCTAAAGCATCCATGACAGATGGCCCTCCAACCTCTGCTTAAAAACCTCCAAGGAAGGAGAGTCCACCACTTCTCGTGTCAGTCTGTTCTACTGCTGAACAACTCTTATTATCAGAAAGTTTTGCCAAATGCTTAGTCGGAATCTCTTTTCTTGTAACTTGAAGCCATTGCCTCGAGTCCTACCCTCCAGGGTGGGAGAAAACAAGCATTCTAGTTTGAAAGCAGTTCTAAAACGTTATAAAAATGCTTATGCCGTTTTTTGAAAGTTAAAACATGAGGGATAAATAGCTCCTGTGCAAGGCTGGCTTCCCAAAGGATAGGGCAGCTGTGATATTTTTCCAGGTTTTTATGAGGCTGTCCATCTCAGCACCTTTTCAGATCTGCCTGCATGGGTGTTGCTCCGTTCTGCCACTAGGTGCCGCTGTAGTTTGCTCCTGGTTCATATGCGGATTGAGAGAGAGAGACTCTATGAACAAAGGAAAAAATGCTAAGTTCTTCTATAAATCCTTAATAATTAACCCCACCTAAGGTGTAAAATCGCATTTTAGCATAGTGCTGGAATTTTAGTGCTGGAAGGTTGAGCTACCTAGATTCTAAGGTAGATGAGAACCTGCGCTGTCTTCTTTTTCTAGAATCTACCTGGTCCAGCAGTGCAAATGGAGAAATAGTAAGATAGCCTCTTAATAGTTATGGCATAAGTAAACTTTGTTAAGCTTTTCCAAGTAAGAATATAACAAGCGCCTTGATAAGAAGTGCCTTGATGCATCAGCTCATCTTGTTTCACATTCTTTGTAAGAATCCTAGCCACCCGGCAGGTGCAAGGTGGTTGACAGGAAATTGGTTGGTAGTCCATTGTTGGGATTATAGTATGGCTTTTGTTACACCTTGATCTGTTACGATGTTCAGACCATGCAGTTTTTCCTGTGTGTATGAGCGTGAGCATCCTGTTTTAATATTTTGGCTCTCTGGGGATTAGTTAACACTTAACGTTCGTCTTTCTCTTGAATTTGCGCTTACGTCTAGCATTTAGAACCTAGTTGCTTATTTCTTTTTAAACTCTCTCCCCTTCTTGTTTGTAGTTCCCAGAGAGCTGGTAGAACTTCACTTGAAACTGATGAGGAAGATCGGAAAATCCGTCACAGCAGATCGCTGGGAAAAATACTTGATCAAGGTAAGTTGTTCTTACATTGGATGCTTTGAAACTCTACTACTGGGTGATATATGATGTTGGGAATCCCCAATACCATGGCCAGAAATAGGAGGTGTCTGTGCCAATTTTTGTTTTTGTATTGTTTAATATTAGATATAGTGTGCAGGGGTAATCACTACCATCCAGAAATAATTTTAAGGAATTTCCAGAGCACACAAAAATCAACATCCCTGTAATACAATTCATTTAAATGATTTTTATGAAAGACTTCTGGGTCTTCCAGTTTTTCATATTTGGTCTCTGGGGCAGTGTGTTTATGTTTCCACCCCTGCCAGTGCCTGGTGGTAAAGCCTATCAGGCAGGTGGGAAACTTTAATAGGGCCTTCTCGGTGGCGGCCCCGCAATTATGGTAGTCAGTTCTTTCTAAGGCTGGGCAGGTCTCATCCATCACATCCTTTAAATGGGACTAAACACAGGTTGGATGACCATCTGTCAGGGATTCTTTAGTTGTGATTCCGGTATTACAGCGGGTTGGACTCGGTGAGCCTTGGGGTCCCTTCCAGTTTACAGTACTATAATTCCATGACTGATATTTCCTCTGATTAATAGGGCTCTTGCTGTCTGTATCCGGCTGAATTTTATTGTTTCTGTTTCATCTCTCTACTGGTGTTTAGATTTTAGTGTTGTTTATGAATGGATTCTAAAGTGTTTTTTTTGTGTTTGAATCTGTATTTTTATATATGTTGTGAACTGCTTTGTATTGCGTGTTCTCAAAAGGCAGACTATAAGTCAGCTAAACAAACAAATAACTAAATACCCATCCTAGGTCCCCATATTGTTAGTTTAACAGCAATCCACATCCCTCTGCTTTTTCCAGTTCCTGTTTTATTCCTACAAAAACTGAAACTTTAGGTAACTCACTTCGTTAAGTATGGGTGCCATGATGGGAGATCACTTCGTACTTAATTTAAACCATTTTCCTTTCAGATGTGTCAAGAATTCAACAGCACCTGGGCATGGGAAATGGAGAAAAAAGGATACTTTGAAATGAGCATGGAATGCAAGTTGGGAATATTGAAGGTACTATTGTCTTCAACTCACGTGATAGTTTTCTGGAATACCTGATTATCCTCCAAACACCATTTATAGCATTATGAGTTTATCACGGGCTTATGCATCCTCCACCTTCCCAATTCCCTTGCATTTTCCAATTTCCTGCACTGTTTCTGGGTTGACCTAACTCCAAACCATGGCTACATGGTGGGTGAGTGTCATTCATTTAAAAAGCTACCTTTATACGCTACTCCAGACCTACAGAAAATGCAGCGGTGGATTCAAAACGTCTCTTTTAAAAAGAGATGGTGAGGCGGAACAACTGAAGACCGCTTGCTTCGGTACCTACTTTGTAGCAGGTCTCCAAAGTCTCAAGCACAAGCCTTTCCCAGCCCTCTCTCATTTATAGCAATGCTAGAGATTAAATCTGAGTCCTTCTTAATACAGAGCAAGGGCCCTGCCATCTGAGCTATGGCTCCTCCCCAACAATTTCTTAAATCAAGCCCTTCAAGTACTGTTTTTGAAAATTAGTCTCTTGCTGGTGCATCAGCAGAGTGTTCCTTTGGTGTTTCCAACATTAGTTTGAGGTGCTCTTTTTCTCCCCCCCCCCTTTCTTTAGTACCTTTGTGAGTGCCAGTTTGATGACAATCTCAAATTTAAGAATATCATTAATGAGGAAGATGCAGATGCTATGCGCCTTCAGCCGATTGGCAGAGACAAAGATGGGCTGACCTACTGGTACCAGCTGGATCAAGATCATAATGTTAGGGTGTATGTCGAAGAGCAAGATGATCAAGATGGGTCTTCGTGGAAGTGCATTGTCAGGTATTGTTCTTTTTACCCTCGGTTTTCCAGACTTTAGACTTTAGAAGAAACGCCTCTCTCAGGTTCATTTATTGGATAGGATTTTTTAAATGTTCTCTCTGACTCACTGTGCATAAGGAAATATTTACAGCTACACGTACATCTTTGCGATGGTTTAGTGCTGCACCTGAAACAAAGCCAAACGCTTACAACGTGGTGGTTCAGAAAAGGGCCGCCAAAATGATCCAAGAGATTGGAGCAATTTCCCTATGAAGAAAAGTTGCAGTACTTGGGACTTTTAGTTTAGAGAAAAAGCTGGAGCTGATTGTGATCATATTATAACATTTTGGCAGCGGACAGAGTTGTATGATTTTTTTAAATATTCTGTTTGAAATATATTGCTATGACTTGTTTTAATTAATAAAAAGGGGGGGAGAAGAGGCGAGTAAGATGTAACATTATAAAGGTAAAGGGACCCCTGTTAGGTCCAGTTGTGGCCGACTCTGGGGTTGCGGCACTCATCTCACTTTATTGGCCGAGGGAGCTGGCGTACAGCTTCTGGTCATGTGGCCAGCATGACTAAGCCGCTTCTGGCGAACCAGAGCAGTGCACGGAAGCGCCGTTTACCTTCCCACCAGAGTGGTACCTATTTATCTACTTGCACTTTAACGTGCTTTCAAACTGCTAGGTTGGCAGGAGCAGGGACCGAGCAACGGGCGCTCACCCCGTCACAGGGATTCAAACCGCTGACCTTCTGATCGGCAAGCCCTAGGCTCTGTGGTTTAACCCACAGCGCCACCCGCGTCCCTTATGTAGCATTATAGAAGTTTATAAGATTATGCATGGCATAACATAACATTAGAGCTCTCTCATAACATTGGAACTCATGGGCACCCAGTGAAGATGAACGTTAGGACAGATAAAATACTTATTCACGCAGCACGATGTCAAACCATGGAACTGCTCCCCCAGGAGACAGCGATGGCCAGCAACTTGGGAGACTTTAAAAAAAGGATTAGGAAATTGACGGCTGCCAGCCAAGATGGCTACTCTCTACTTCCACAGGCAGTAATGCTTCCTAATACAAGTTGCTGGAAACTACTAGAGGGGAGAGGGCTCTTCTGCTCTTGTTCTGCTCCCTGGTTTCCTGCAGGCATCTGGTTGGCCACTGTGAGAACAGGATGCTGGACTAGCTAAGTAGGCCTCTGGCCGGATCTAGCAGACTATTCTCAGGTCTGGAGATCTGGCCCTGAATTTGGGCTGTGGTGAATATGTGCTGCAGTGCTGGCCATTGCTCCTTTTTGTATGCCTATGTTCCTTTTGTTCCAGGCTTGCTATGTGTGGCTATTCCTTGGTTCTGCTATGCTTGCAGGTAGGTGTGAGAGGAGGGTGGGAACTGGTGTACTGACTGCTGAGAGTACGAAACTGCAAGTGGTTCTCTATAGCAGTGATAGGTGTCTGTGAAATTCCTTAGGGGGAAGGGGCAGTTGTGGGGGCTGCACCCATGGTTTCCTGGACATAGTCCTTTACCATTTACTTACACTTCATTTTCCTGCTGCTGCTGGCAAAGCATAATGTGTGCGGTCTGGTTTGCACAAGTGTGGGATATTACACAAGGCTGACAAGGTTGTGGGGCTTGATGCGCTTTTTGTTTTTTGTTTATCCAGAAGCCGAAATGAGCTGGCTGAAACTCTGGAACTCCTCAAAGCACAAATTGATCCCGAACTATTAAAAAAACAGCAGCAGGAAAATTCGTCACGGGAGAGCCCTAGTATTGAAGGTGAAGAGGCCAAAAAGGGCGAAGAAACGTCAACCCAAGGTTTTGCTGCTATTCTTACCTTGCAAGGGATATTTTGCATTAGTCATGCTCAGTGTTGACTATTTTGAGGGATTTGTGCACTGCAAATGTGGGCGTGATTCAAAATTGGAAGCCATTTAACCTAAAAAAAAGCTTGAGAAGGTTTTTTTTTTAAAGTATTGCTGCTGTTAAAGTGACATTAGGATGGGTACCAGGCGAGCCTCTCTGAGGAAAGCATTCCTCTAAGGAGGTGCCACCATTGGACTTGCATGCCTTTTGGCCCTTCCTAGCTCTCTTCTGCAGACTTCAAATAGTAAAGCAATCATTCACTCTTCCTGGAGGGCCTTGAGAATTGTAATCCATACAGGGGAAGTGAGCTAGTAATGGAAATTTCTCAGAATAGCACAAAACTATAGTTTTCAGGGTTTCCTTTAGGGGACAGCCAGGACAGTTCAGTTGAAATGAAACCAGCGTATATTTGTTACATAGATTTGCCCAGTGATTTTTTGCTGTACCGAATCGTTCACTCATTAAAGTACCATTGGAGCCATTTTTGTTTCGACATGAGCTGATATTTAGCATTCATGTGTTCAGTGCCTGGAAAAACTAAATGCTTCAAAGGTTGTGTCGTACTGAGGGTGAGGAGAATCATTTGGCTTACGATGATTGTAACATTGCTTTGCTTTGCTCTTTTTTTCTTTTAAATGAAACAGAAAGTGACTTGAAGGTCAAAGAAGAAAAAGAAGAGATAAAAGAGGAGCTGCCAAAGCAGCTGGAAAGCCTTCCACCTCCAGCAGTTTCGGAAGAGGAAAACAAGATAAAATTAGAAAAAGTGCAAGAGAGAGAAATCATAAAGCTGCCAGTTATAGTGAAGTTGGATAAACCTTTGGAAAACAATGGGGAAATGCAGATTACCAAAGAAGAAAGGGACTCTTTTAAAGAAAACGTTAAGCCCGTTAAAGTGGAGGTGAAGGAAAATAAGCTAGAGCCAAAAGACTTGAAAGATGTAAATAGCAATGCAGAGGCAACTGTTCACGAGCCCGAAAGGATAGAGTTCTGTGTCAATGTCAAGGCTCCCCAGGAAGTGGTGGAGCGAAGTGTGGAAGAAAGCGAGAAACTAAAAAATGACCAGCAGGCAAAGATTCCACTGAAAAAGCGAGAGATTAAGCTGACTGATGATTATGACAGCCCCTTAAAAGGGCCCTTGCGAAAATGTATTACCCCAACGAAGGATGTCTTGAAGGAGGAAGGGAAACAAGAGGAAGAGACGTTTAAGAGAGTCCCTACAATTACCGATGGGAAATGTCTTGTAAATGGGGAGGTTAGTAGCGAGAAAATCATGCCAAATAACAAGCTGGAACGTTCCCCAGGCACAAAGGAAGACGCCTCCAGCCTGCCTAAGGAGGAAAACGGTGTAAGCGGTGAGAAAATACTGGAGACCGTTAGCACAATAGTAAGAACAGCTGATGTCGAAAGAAATATTTTGCGTACAGGGAAGGAGGTAGCTAGTGTGGTAGCTGAGGTTTCTTCTCAGAAAGTGCCTTTAAAGGAGGAGACCAGCCCGAAAGGAAAAGAAAACTTGCTTGACAGTAAGACTTCAGAGTCTGTCGTAGAAGCACCTTCAAAAACGGATGATTGTCTCAAGAAATCAGTGGAACCTGTGAAAGCAAAAGACGGCCTGGCACCTCCCAAGGAATGTCCAGATAAAACCTTAACTGCATCTTCCTCAAAGGAGCAGGTTACTCCAGCAGTTGAAGAGGATCTGAAAAGTAAGGGTCAAGCCGGGGAGAAGGCAGAGTTGCTAAGAGCGGCTGTGACTCCACCGCCTGCTCCAGCCCTTCCCTCGGAGAAATCAGTTGCTGAGAAGGAGGAATCTGTCTCTAAAAGCACACTTCCTGATAAATGCAAAGTACAGGCAGGGGAGGATTCTAAGCCGCAGAAGGACTCTGAAGCTGAAGGAAAAGAAACGCCCAAATTAGGCAATGCCCAAAGTTCTGCCGAGGAACCTCCTGAGACTAAAAAAGAGCCCGTGAAAAGCAAGTGTAAATACAAGCTGATTTCTGAAGAGGAAAGTTCTCTAGCGGAGAATAGGGAAATCACCTCCGAGAGGCAGAAAGATGGGATCAAGCTCACAATCAGGATCTCGAGTAGAAAGAAAACCGACCCTCCTCCCAAGACTCAGAATGCAGCCTCTGAAAAGGAGGAGGAGGCGGCTGTTGGTGTCGGTCGCATTTTAAGGAGGTCTCCCCGGATATCCAAGCCCACTCCCAAAATAGCGGAGACCCGAGATCAGAAGCCCGAGAAAAAGCGGAGTGAGGAGGAGGAAGAAAAACCAGCTGCGGTGCAAAAGCCGGAGAAGAAAGAGGACTCAAAAAAGCAAGAGAAGGAAATAAATTCTAAGGCTAGCAAGGTAAAATATTCACATGAGAGCTGTGCGCCTTGAGTCTTCTGAATTTTGCTGGCCACTAATGTTGTTTAGAAACCCAAACCTATGCTAAGACATTTTGGTTTCTACCCACCCACCCCCACCCCAACCCCATTATACTAATCTGTACAGTTTGGAACAGTTTTGCTCAATTGGCAGGCCTTGCTCTGCACCCAGTATTCTAATTTTTACTCTGTTTTGACGTTTTTAGCACAAGGCATTATGCCTGGAAGCAGGAGTGATAGAACACATTATAGAGAGCTGCTTGCCTGACAGGGTCCCACTAAAGCAGTGGAACTGTTCCCTTTTCTCTTTGAGGGATTCTCTGGAGTAGATTTTTAGGGGCACACAAGAGGAGAGGAAGCGGGAGTCCCAATTGTGTGAGCATTGGATAGAGCTCCCTGTCTCCTGATGGCCACGGAGAAGGTGTGATCATGTGATCCACACAATTACTAGCTGGCTCAGAAGTTGGGTGTAGGTAGTTCAATAGCTTTGCAAAAAATAAAATGATGCAGGAAACTTTACGTTATGTTACACTGATGTAGCAGAAGCTATTGGTGAATGGAAGAAAGCTTGATGTAAGGCTGCAGCATTTAGATGTTTAATTGATTCAGTGAATCGGTTGAAAAGTTTTTGGTAGGCTAAAACGATATCTTGTGCCTTAGCAGTTATTACTAGCTAGTGTTTTCTACACTGGCTATACGGTGTGCATTTAGTTACAGTGATTATTGCATGGGAAACGTTTGCCCTTCTGCAAAGTTGGAGTAGTTGAGGGTCACGTGTTTGATGATACAAGAGTCATCAGGGATGACTCTTAATACAAGAGTCATCAGGGATGCCAGTAAGACAACTGGAAGGAGCACTTCTGTTTGAGAATAGCAAGAATAATGTTCTGGCTGCTATGTCATCACAAGGTCAAAATCTATGGCCAAGAAAGTAAAATTCATCATGATCCCGGTGGTTTACTGTGAGTGGGGAACACCTGGTGAGGGCTGGAGGCTTCAGGGAAAGAGGAAGATTTTTTCCCCCCAAGTGAATTTTTATTGTTTTCCTTACATATTCTTTTCCAACAAATTGTAATAGCACCATACATTCCCTTTGACTCTGCCGAGTCGCGACCCCCCCTCCCTCCCCACAACTGGTATATTTATCCTCTTTCCATCACGCACATCATTCTCATATTAGTACTATTATACATTGGAGGTATTATGTCAATCCTGCTAGTGTCTTGACCTCTTTACAATTCTTCTTTAAATATTCAATAAATTTACTCCAGTTATTTTGGTATCTTTGATCTCCCTGGTCCTGGATCCTCCCTGTCAGTTTGGCAAGTTCTGCATATTCTGTCAACTTCGCCTGCCACTCCTGAATAGTTGGTATATCTTGTACTTTCCATCTTTGGGCCAGAAGGGTCCTCGCGGCAGCTGTAGCATACATGAACAAATTTTGATCTTCTATTTTAATTTCTGTTCCTATTAAGCCTAATAGACACGCTTCCGGTCTTTGGGGGAAAGTATATCTAAATATTTTTTTGAGTTCATTATAAATTGATTCAGGGAAAGAGGAAGCTTTTGAAACAGGCAGTGTCTTCGTCCTCCTTCAGCTAAGACTTGGTTGGGTTACATGTCCTCTGACTGGGCACTCTCAGTAGATTCCTGGTGGCAGTGCCCTCACTTGAATCATTAACCCCATTTGATTTGAAAGAAGGGAGTCAGACAGATGTACTGCTTTCTACTTTGATGTTTCCCTATGTGTGGTTTTAGGATTGTGCCAGAGAGATACTGTCCTTGCTCTGCACAATTTAGTGGTCCAGTCCTGTGTGAGCAATCTGCCCACAAGGTGCAAAATTGTTTTCAGAAGAGAGCCCAGCCTCCAGCTAAATCTGAGGTGTATCTCATTGTGAAAGCCAAGTCTTTCTCCTGTCTCCACAGTGAACTATCACGAGAATTCCCAGTTTGGTCTCATCAGCTGCATCAATCCTGAGGGAAGGTTTTCCCTTGTTTGAAGGCCAGACTGAAAAAGAAAGATTTCATATGCAAGGACAGAACTTGTTCTCTTTCTCCTCAAACGCAGTGTTTGTATCATTAGATCCTAATTTGCAGCAGCAGGCCCTATGATCGGATTGCAGCTCATTTGTGTGTGGAACAGATGATGGGTGCTGGTATAAAGTAGTGTAATTTCAGAAGGGAAGGGAATGAATGAGTTGGGGTTTTTGTTTTTTTAAAGAGTGGTATTGGCCTTGTTCAGAAATAACACTAAATCATTCCTTGACATTATGACAACAAGCATTGGTGAGCCTTGGACTCATGTGCTCCTCTTTGTCCTCCGGTATAGGCTTAAGGAGAAGTTTGGAAGCTTTCCCTACAATTTTAGATTAAATGCAGCTTGCTGTGACATCTAAATCTAGACAAATTGGATAATCTTAACCAGGGGTCAGCAAGGTTTATCTTGCCTGGGCCGGATCGGTACCACGGAGATCCCTCCGTGGGCCCGATCACGCGCATGATTTTCGGTGCCTGCGTCTGCGCAGATGTGCCGGTTTAGCGCAGCGCGAGAGCAGGCACCTTGGTTCGGGGGTGGCTCAATGGGCCGGTCAAACGACCTCCGGGGGCCGCTTTTGGCCCATGGGCCGTAGGTTGCTGACCCTTGATCTTAACTGTGGTTAATCTTAACAATGGTTTGTTTCTTTAAAAAAAGAACATAGTTAAGATCAAGCACAATTTAGGGTTATGGGGGCATGGTAAACAGTGACTAATCTAAAATAGAAGCAACAGTTTCCTTGCAGCTGCACTGGAGGAGAGGGGGGGAGTTTGAACCTGAGGCTCCCTGCGGCTTGTTGTTATACTGCTAAACCATTTAGCATTGAATCCCAGTACAACTGTTGTCATGTCCAGAAGGCATTGTATAATCTGCGCATGGCTGTTTTTTATTTGAGGCAATGTAAACTGGGGGAATGTATGATTCATCATGGAACTGTAACAAGGTGCCGAGACAATGAGGTTTCCCTTGTCACTGGGTTTCTAGGCCTCACAGCGAAGCAAAGTTCGGTGGGCTGGTACTCGAACTCGTGGTAGGTGGAGATATTCGAGCAATGATGAGAGCGAAGATTCAGAGAGTGAAGAAGACTCTGAGAATCAGGAGGAAGAGGAGGAGGAAGAGGAAGAACCTGCGCCTGCTGATGACGATGAGCCGTGCAAGAAATGCGGCCTCCCCAATCACCCAGAGCTAGTAGGTTCTTGTCTTCAAGAGCAGTGAAAAGCCATTCTTAAGCATTCTACAGATACACTGGCTCAGTTCAGACATCATACCAAACCTATGGCTAAAGGAAGTTTATAGACTTGGCATGTTGTCTGAATTGGCAATGCATGGTTTGTGTTTCGCCAGTAAAGCAGGTTTGGGTGTGCAAATCATGTTTTAGTGTGATGTCTGAATTGACCAGCCACCCCTGCAGGCTGTTGCACCTTGAAGGCAGAATGAATTTAAGTGGTGGGGTTCTTCAAAGATGGGAAACGAAAGCAGACAAGCGATTCTAAGTCATGTTGTGCATTTGGAAGTTCAGACCTGCGAGCGGATTCTAAACTATTACGTGTTACATAAATACGGGGCAATAACACTGACAAAAAATAGGTACCTTAAATTATTCTTGTGCATGTATGTGTGTTCTTTAAAAAATCACTCTGCTTGCATTCTTCCTTTTCTGTGGATGAGATCAAAATTCCAATCACAGTGGCACTCCATGCAGTAGTTGCATTTGGGATCACAGCTTTGCTGCAAAATTCAGTTGGTTTAATGGCGGTGGCTTTTGTCCCAGGAACACTTGCAATCTGTAGTTTGGTGGGAAGGCTGGGTACTCAACAGAAACCTTGGAATCCTTGCAAAACCAGAGGGCTGTTTAGAGAAACAGTGACAACCAAAGGCCCATTTGGTCTTTTCTATCTTCTCTCCCTAGTAGGATTTAACAGAAAAATTCTCCTCTCTGAGGATCATACACATTTATGAACTGGAATGTCTTCATATCAAAATAGGCTGTGTTGCAGTGTAGTCCTGACATAGCCAGTTCCCTTAAGAATTGCCCATATTGTGTTTAAAGAGAATAACAATTTCCCATTTGAGTCTACAGCTGCACCAGAAGGGAAGAGACGGAGCATGTTTTTGCCTCTACTTTATGACAACAGCGAATTCAGGTTTAATCTAGGAATGTTAATATACCTGGAGCCTGATCTGGTTAACCCCTTTAAAATCCTATCCATGTCAGTGAGAGAATTAATACCTTCCATTGAAGTCAGTGGGACTTAAAAGAGTTTAATGAATATTGCTGCTGGGCTTTCCAGCAAAAGCAACAGTTTATCTGCTTATGGATCTATTGGCCACTTCAATTTCAGAATATTTGTGCCAGCCTTCCTCAATCTGGCCCCCCTCCGAATACCGTCGGACAACAGATCACATCATCTCTGACCAATGGCCATGCTGGCTGGAACTGATGCGAGTTGTAGTCCACAACGTCTGGAGTTGCACCGGTTGGTGAAGGCTGATTTATGCAAACATAGGAAAGCAAGGTGCGCCTTGATGTGCTTCACAGTGCAAGTGCAAGGTCCGACTGACTCCTTGGTTCATTTTCACAGATTCTCTTGTGCGACTCTTGTGACAGCGGCTACCATACGGCCTGCCTTCGACCCCCACTGATGATCATTCCTGATGGAGAATGGTTCTGCCCACCTTGCCAACACGTAGGCTTTGTCTTCTTTGCCTTTGTCTTGTTTTGTGCTTCCTCGCATGCAAATCCTGAGTTACGGTGTGGCTATGGAAAGGAGCCTTCCATCGTTTCCTCCATTCCTTTTGGGACTGTTCACTTTGCCTTTGGTACCCATTATTGTAACAAGAACTGTAAGGTGTGGTAATAGGTGGGTGTGAATATGTAACAAGGGTATACAGTGGTGCCCCACAAGATGAAAAACCCGCTAGACAAAAGGGTTTTCCATTTTTGAGTTGCTTCGCAAGACGATTTTCCCTATGGGCTTTCTTCGCAAGACGAAAACGTCTTGCGATTTTTTTTCACTTCCCCCCTTTTTTCTAAGCCACTAAGCCGCTAATAGCCTTTTAGCCGCTAAGCTGCTAAGCCTTTAATAGCCGCTAAGCCGCTAATAGGGTTGCTTCGCAAGACGAAAAAACCGCTAGACGAAGAGACTCACGGAACGGATTCTTTTCGTCTTGCGAGGCACCACTGTATTACATAATCCCATGAGAATAGCATTCAGTGCACTGCAAACAAATTGCACCATAAAAATATTTGTTTGCAGTCATGTGCAACTTGCCATAAATGAACAAATTAGTTTATAATTGTAAATGAAATGCAAACCACCCATTGTTTGTTTCCATCATCTGATAATATACTTGAGGTAGCATCATTCCTATTTTCCACAATTCCTTTTAACGTTTCTATTATGCTCAGCTATATATTCTCCTAGTACTGTTTGGGGTTTGGGTATTCTAGCATTTGCACACAAAAAAATGCATGTGTTTCTTCTGTATACACAATTCAACATTTATAAGGGACTTATAAGTTTTCTCTACTATACCTACATTTGTCTCTTTTTGTGTGGCATTTGCCATTTTCACATCATATAGGCCCTGTGCAGATGTAATATTCCTGATTGCTTACTCATCGTGAAGCAAATGGAGGGAAATTGCTGGCATTTTCTCAGCACCCCTCCATTCTGGAGTGCAAGTTTCCTCCACAGAAGCATTGATCATTGCTCAAGATATACTTAATTCCCTTCTAAACCCAAGGTCCAGTCTGGTTTAAAGGCCATTGTTGCTGAAAACACTTTATCATAGTTAAGAGTATGAGGAATTTGCTCTGCTGAAAATGTTTTGGGGCAAGGGGAAGATGAATTAAAGCCTATATATTGTTAAGCATTAGCAGGTAAGTTGCAGTATAGTTCAGGTTGAGCCAGTCCCCTTGACGCAGGCTTCTTCCACCACCTCCACCCAAAAAAATACTCCAATCTCCTGTGACTTAGTGACATTCTCATCCATTTATTGTGAATTGTTTGGTTCTGCCGGTCTACTTTGCCTTGCCCATGGACTAGTTGGCATTTCTGTGTGCTTCCAACTGCAAGAGCAGATTTAGGAATAAATTTGAACTCCATTCAGTGGAAAGATTGAAATGTAGTCTTGAGATTGTCACCCACAGTTTCCAAAGTAACTTGCTTTTCCTTATTCTTTCTGGAAATCCTTCTCTTACCGCCTGATGTTTGGACCACTGTTAGGTACTCGCTGGCGGTGACGGCTTTCACACCGACAAGGAATGCTTGGGAAGGGGCCTGTTCAGAAATTAGGGCCACGGTGATGTTTGTGGAGCAGGGTAACGCTTTGTATTTGTTTATTCCCATAGAAATTGCTCTGTGAGAAGTTGGAAGAACAACTGCAGGACCTGGATGTTGTCCTGAAAAAGAAAGAGCGTGCAGAACGAAGGTACCGAAACATTGACCAATGGCTTAGCAACCCCTGTAACCCCACATAACAAACCACACACAGCGAGTGAGTCAGTACTTTACTCTAGCCTTCCCCAACCTCGTACCCTCCAGCTTGACTACAGTGCCCCCATCAGCCTCAGCCAGTACAATCCCCAGTAGCCACCACCTGTTCTGGTGTTTTTATTAACCAGGTTTAGTACCACGCCAGCATGCAAAACCACTTATGACCGTGACTGCCAATTCTAGTTTGGAGCTGGCTGTGGGTGCAGCTAGGTAAAGGTCTGGCATTAATGCAAACAGGTGAAAATACAGTATAGGACAAATTTAAGCAGTTGCTGTGAAGAAATGTCAGCTTTTTGTTTTGTTTTTTTCTCCCTAAGGAAAGAGCGCCTTGTGTATGTGGGCATTAGTATTGAGAATATCATTCCTCCACGAGTAAGTGAAATGAACCCCTTTTCTTTCTTTTGGCATAGAGTCAGACCTGTGTGTTGTTTGCGCTGTAAACACTAAAAATACTGCCTTAAGAAAAGCTGAGTCTGCAATAACCATAGATTGCCCTAATCAAGCAAATTTGCATGCATCTGCTCATTTTGCCTGATAAATTCTGCTGCTTTTGCTGCTAAGAGTCAAGGAGCTATGCAGAGCACTAAACATGGATCCCGGACCGCTAGAAACCCAATGCACTCCCTGCGTCTTCCTTCTCTACTGCCTGTGGCACATGCATATTACAGCCATGTGGTCTAGAAACTTGCCATTGTTTGAACCTCCATGTTGGCACGTACTGTTAGATCAATCCCATCCTGTCATTTGAAAACTTTGGAGGTATGCATGGTTTGATAATTGCTACGGGTTGTAGCCAATGCTAGTGGTATTCTGAGTTGACTCATTGAAGTTAATGAATATAGCTAACAAGTGTTTATGAATCCTCTCAGAGTAGAACTTAGTTGGAAACAACCCTAGGTACTCTAAACAAGAGGAACTGTGTGGCTGTTTGTGCAGCAGATTGTTTCTCATGGAAAAGGCGACAAATTAAGGCTGAGTTTGTACACCCCCTATGATTGGCTGCAGCTATTTCTGTGCTTAATGATTGTCTGCCTTTAAACCAGGAGCCTGAAATACCTGAAGTTGTCGATGAAAAGAAGAAAGATTCCAAAAAATCAAAGGCGAAGCTGCTTGAAAGGAGGTCGACTAGGCAACGGAAGTGTATCAGCTATAGGCAAGCAACTTCTTTGCTCCTTTTTGAATGGATGTAATAAAAGAAGCTGTGTTTCCAGTTCACAGTGGAAACATGCAAAAAAGAAGGAGGAGGAGGAGGAGGAGGGAGGGCTGTCTGAGCAATGGAGAAAGGGGTTTTTGGAGCCAATGCGTTTTGAGGGCAAAATTGCTTGCACCCACTGGAATCTTGACTCTGCTATTACAGCAGATGACTCTCAAGGGGTGTCTAGAGCACTGTCTTAATGGTGTTTTGTTGCATGAGTTTCAGCTAGTAAGGTTTGAGGCTGTAGACAAAGTTCCTGGATCGGTCAGGGCAACCACCTGGAACCTCTTGGCTGATAAAAACGAGCAGGGAGGGGACAGCTGGCTGGGCCAGGAAGGTGGTCAATGCCTCCTTGTGAGAAGGGTCCGTGCCTGCTTGAGGGAAGCAGTGGTAAAACCACTCCTCAAGAAACCCTCCCTGGATTCTGAAAATCTTAAGTAACTAACTACCCAGTTGCCAATCTTTCCTTCTTGGGCAGACCAGTTGCAGACCAGATCCAGGTGCTCTAGGAGGAAACTGATCGTGTAGATCCTAAGCTATTTTTAGGCCCAGTTTTGATAGTATAAAGGTAAAGGGACCCCTGACCATTAGGTCCATTCGTGACCGACTCTGGGGTTGCGACGCTCATCTCTCTTTATTGGCTGAGGGAGCCGGCGTACAGTTTCAGGGTCATGTGGCCAGCATGACTAAGCCGCTTCTGGCGAACCAGAGCAGCGCACGGAAACGCCGTTTACCTTCCCGCCGAAGCGGTACCTATTTATCTACTTGCACTTTGACGTGCTTTCGAACCGCTAGGTTGGCAGGAGATTGGCAAGTCCTAGGCTCTGTGGTTTAACCCACAGCACCACCCATGTCCCTTTTATAGTATACCTTTTATTTTTATTTTATTTCGTTCAATTAAACTGTTTTTTTTAAAAAATAATGATAATGACGTCAACAGCAACAGCAGCAACATATCAAGTGCACATTTAAATTTCCTCTTACATTGACTGGCTGTACATTACATGCCAAAACACAGAACAAAGCTCCAGGGTTGCCTCTTCAATAATGGCAAAGTTAAACATTCTCTACTACAAGATTGGTGGTAGGCAACCAACTTGGAAGGCTTCAAATGGAGGGTGGACAAAATCATGGAGGGCAAGGCTGTCAGTGGCTACTGGCCATGATGGCTATGTACTTCTTCTTTGGCAATTACTTGTTGCCGAGTAAGATTGTCTTCCATAAACATAGTTTTAAAAGTGAGTCCGTAAGTGACTGTGGAAGCCAATTCTGGATCCACACATCCTTCCACAGTGGGGACATTGGTTTCCGGGCGGGAGTTGATCATGGTGAGGGTTTGCCAAGTGTGCCTTCCTCTTAGCACGTTTCTCCCTTTTGTTCTGAGTTTAACGTCTTCAAAGCCCATGACACCTTTGGTAAAGGCTGTTCTCCATTTGGAGTGCTCGCAGGCCAGCGTTTCCCAGTTGTCGATGTTTATACTACATTTTTTTAGATTTGCCTTGAGAGAGTGTTTAAACCTCTTGTGTGCTATCTCTATGTTGTAAACAGCTGGGAATCACGAGTGGGGAGAGTGCTTTTGGGCTCATGTCCTCCTTGTTGGCGCCCCATAGGCATCTAGATCCTAGATGAGCTAGATGCCGGACTAGATGAGCCTTTGGTTGCATCCTGAGGGGTCGTCTTATGATATTAAAAAACAGGTTCCTCGGGCAGTGATTCGCAGCAGAGGAGGCACAGTGCTCACCCTCATAAGTTGCACCATCTAGAACCCAGGGAGGGGTGAAGGGTGCTTGTGGGTGCAGCAATGATTGTAAAAAGCCGTCATTGGCAAAAGGGTTAAGTGTGCTTGCCCTGCTGCTCTTTCACGCAGAATCACTGGCTCCTTAGGCTGCCTTTCATTAAAAAGGGAGCTGTGGGGTTTCCTCTCATACATTTGTATGCACCGTTGCAGTGGCTGTTGTCTGCAATCGATAAAAATCTGGCCCAACTGCATGATACTGCGATGTGCCTCTCAATCTCCTGGTCTGCTTTTATAATTGCGTTTTAAGGGCACACGTAAACATCATACTGGTAATGTGTATGCCAGTGCCCCACATATCAAATCCAAGTCAAAGCAAACCCAGGCCGTTTCTGTGATGCTACACGGGACCGTCATTAACTCCAGACACCGCATTGAGCTAGAAAGCCCCACCTCGTGTGGTTAGTAAGAAGGAGGCAGGCTGTACTCTGGGCTTCCTAGATGGAATTGTCACATCCCTGACAGATGAGGCAAACTGATGACCCAGCAGAAACACCCCCTCCCTCGCCCCAGGTTATCCGACTGTCCTCCAGGGGGATTAAGCCGTTCTGCAAGCATAGCAGTTTGAGCGGGTCATCGCTCGTCAGTGGAAATTGCACTCGAAATGTATTATGCTCAACAGCAGGACTGTGAAATGCCCTGCCTTTGCAGCTTCTGCCTTTGTGCTCCTGCCTAGTTGGTTTCGGCCGCTTCTAAGTGAAGAAGATTGAGCTATAAAACTTGCAAGGCCCTTGATCTTTCCCTCCACCCCTCTCAACTATAATCCACCCTCCCATTTTTGCATTGCTTTAGAGACTTTAGATTGCTGCTGCAGCATCCGAAAAGCAGTGATAGCTGGTTTTCCTTTTGCAAATGGTATAGGGAGGGAGGGAACACCTTGGTTTAACTATGTAGTAAGATTTCAGCTAATTTTGCATAAAACCACTTACAAAAACTGTCATGCAAAGTTAAGAGGAAAACAAGAGTTCCTGGTGTTACGCTTAACTTTCTAGGAAGAAGGTCAGAATGCTTGTGTGTATTATAAACTGTTCAGACATTTGGAGCCTGATATTTAATTTCAGGAAGGACCACTACAGGGTATCTCACTCTCTCACTCTTAAATATGTAGGGTTGAGTGTTTGAAGGAAGTCTAAGAACTTTAATTAGGGATTTATTTGTCCGTTCTGTGGGCAGCCTCTCCAAGAGAGTGAGACACGTACAAATTGATCTCCTTTCCCCCTCACATATTTGGACTCTTCAGTTACTACAGACTTGCCAGTTTATTCCTTAAAATATAATTGAACCCCACTCTGACACCAGCATGTTTTGTCTTCTCTAGGTTTGATGAGTTTGACGAAGCCATTGACGAAGCCATAGAGGATGACATAAAGGAGGCTGACGGAGGAGGTGTGTCTTATTGGACAATGTTAACGGGGAGGAACATGTGGATGACTTCAGTAGTGGATGGCAATCCTGGTTTTTGGTACAGCAAGCACTAAATTTATACCGAGGGACTTGGGTGCTCTCCTGCCACTTCCTGCAAGTGCATGAAAAAACCACATCTGCTACAAAGAACAGAAATCTTTCTCCCTCTTGTCAGACTTCTCAGCTGGCTGGGACGTGTCCAAAGACTATTTGGACGTAGATCCCTGCTCTGCTAAGTTAGTTGCTTGTGCTATTCACTATCACTCAGCCTGATCTTCCTCACAGGGTTGTTGTGGATAAAGGTGGTGGTGGAGGGACCCATGTATGTTCTTGGAGGGGGAAGGTAAAATAAATAAATGTCTCGTTCTTGTATCCCCAGACTTGTTTAAGCTTTCAGCTTTTCCACAGGGGAGATAAGACATCCTCCCTGACCTCATCTGTCTGCAAACATGGGAATTTTCAGTTCTGGTTTGGGTGCTTTTTATGGAGGGAAGGTTGATGCTAGCAGCAAGTGAGTAAGTGGATTCACAGTCACCGTGGTCCTGGTCTCCCGACTGTAGGTGGTGGAAGAGGGAAAGACATGGCTAACATCACGGGGCATCGTGGCAAGGATATTTCCACCATCCTGGAGGAGGAAAGGAAGGAAACCAAGCGACCTCCGAGGGCTGTCGCAGTTCGCCGGAAGAAACGGCGGCGACTGAACGACCTGGACAGTGACAGCAACCTGGATGAAGAGGAAAGTGAGGATGAGTTCAGAATCAGTGACGGGTAAGGCCTGCTCCAAATTTCGGGTGTCCCAAGTTGAGTGCTCTTATTTCAGCAGATTTCAATTTGAGCTAAGCACGTACAGTGGTACCTCTGGTTGCGTACTTAATTCATTCGGGGGGTCCGTTCTTAACCTGAAACTAATCTTAACCTGAAGCACCACTTTAGCAAATGGGGCCTCCCGCTGCACGATTTCTGTTCTCATCCTGAAGCAAGGTTCTTAACCCGAGGTACTATTTCTGGGTTAGCGGAGTCTGTAACCTGAAGTGTATGTAACCCGAGGTACCACTGTACTAGCCTCAGATTGAAAGTGTGGGGCAGTAAAACGTGTTCAGCTTTGGATCCCAGAAGCGCTCTTGGGGTGCAGTCTTGCCAAACACTGATACTCAGAACTACCACTTGGAACGACCCTCCCTGGGCTTCTGATTGCAGGTGGAAGATCACTGGCTTGAACGCTTGCCCTGCTTTTGCCTTTGGAAATCTAGGGTGGAATTTGGTGTCGCTTTGTGATGAATGTTCCATCTGCACAAGCATATCAGCTTGCCAAGTGGAACGATTCCCTCCTCTAGGGGTTCTTCTGACCCACCAAACCAATTTGGGGAGAGAATGGAAAGCCCCATTGTGCAAGCAAGAAACCCTTCTGCAGGGTTTCTGCTGACACCGTTTGTTAGGTAAATCACACCCCTGGTAGTAGTAGTAGTAGTAATTATTATTATTATTATTATTATTATTATTATTATTATTATTTATTGTCATTATTATTTCTCCCCCACCCATCTGGCTGGGTTTCCCCAGCCACTCTGAGCAGCTTCTAACAAAAGATAAAAAATACATTAAAATGTTGGAGGGAAATGCTCAAGCCTGTTCCTCTTACATGGCATGGTAGGAAATATGCCATCTCATACCTGCATTCTGAAGTGGAGCTCTGCCAGGAGCACTGTAGTATCTGGTAGTTCTGGGCTCTCTCTTTTGGGACCTGGAGCTAGAATGCATGCCTGTGCTGTTTCGGTCCTGTGAAAAGCAGGTGGTCTGGAACCTTAGCGGCATCTCAAGGTGCTGTTAAGACTTCCCTCAGCCCCAGCCAGCGTAGCTGATGGTCATGGACAATGGGATTAGTAGTCCAACAATATCTGGAGGGCCACAGGTTCCCCACCTCTGACTTTTAAAGGATGCTGTCAGAAGCCTTTCTGGTGGGTAAGCTCTGTCTGTGAGGTGCGAGCTTCTCACAGAGAAACTTTCAATCAGGCCAGGCCCCAGATGAGCTTAGAGTTGTGTAAGGACTTACTGCATCAGAAATAGCATACAGTGGTACCTCGGGTTAAGTACTTAATTCGTTCCGGAGGTCTGTTCTTAACCTGAAGCACCACTTTAGCTAATGGGGCCTCCCGCTGCCGCCGCGCCGCCGGAGCACGATTTCTGTTCTTATCCTGAAGCAAAGTTCTTAACCTGAAGCACTATTTCTGTGATAGCGGAGTGTGTAACCTGAAGCGTATGTAACCCGAGGTACCACTGTATTTGAATTGACCTCAAGGGCCTGTTGCTTGAACACACAGCCATTTGAGCAGAGAGATTGAATCGTTTTCCACTGGAGCAATGAAAACCACCTTAGCTAAACCTTTCTTACGTCTACAGTTTCTTAGTTAAAATGCAGGTCTCGAAGTGGAGCGGGCTTTATTCCTTTGGCATCATTTCAAAGATCTTTCCAGCTAATCTCTCTCCTCTCTCCCCGCCCCCCTTAGATCTCAGGATGAGTTCGTTGTCTCGGACGAGAACTTAGACGAAAGCGAAGAGGATCAGCCATCGAATGACGACAGCGATGCGGAGTTTTCGAAGCGCAGGCCCAGGCGGCACCACTCCAGGCCGATGAGGCAAAGCAGGCGGCTACGGAGAAAAATAGCCAAGAAAAGATACTCTGAAGATGACGAAGACGAAGATGAGGACTCTGAGGAGAACGTAAGCGGCGAATCTGGTAAGTTGGACTCTTTCACTCTTCGTAGATTGGCGGTTGGCTCAAAGGACTGAGTGTTGGGAAACTAGGCCAGCAACCGGTTTTCCTGGAGGGTCGACGTTCCTGAGAACGAAGATGAGCTGGCTTTCCTCACCTTGGCCTCCTGTAGTGGCCTGCCAGGAAGTCCCGTTGCCACGGAAGCCATCGTTTTCTTCTTAGCTGGCAGCTGAAGAGCCGGCGGCACTCCTCCGGGCTGGATTTGCCCTGTGACACACACACACACACACACACACACACATATCCAGCCACTTCGCCTCCGATCTACATTGAACGCCGATCCAACGACAACCTCCTCATTTGGCATTTCCTTTTGGATTGCGTTATACGTAAATGGCTTTGCCACCAACAACTGTTCGGAAGCTTCGGCTGCTACGGAAATGCCACAGCTGGATTGTGGACTGAGATTGGGCACCCAGGCTATATCTTGAATATAATACACTGGCTTCCTGTCCACTTCTGAGTACAATTCAAAGTGCTGCTTTTGATATCTATGCGCTAAATGGCTTGGGACCAATGCACCTCAACAGCCATGGGCTCCCAGACCATTGGATCTTAAGAGGCCTTTCTCCACCCACCACCCACTGTCTTTGGTGGCCAGAGAGAGGGCATTCTCTTTGGCAGTACCCCGTCATTGGAATTTGCTTACCAGTGAGACTTGCACAGCACTGGGTTTGTTGTCATGTTAGCGCTGGCCTTTCTGTTCTCCCCAGGTTGTTAAATGGTGTGGTATCGCAACAAAGTGCTTCCACTTGCGCAAGAGCTTTGGGCTGTGCAGTGGAACTTCCCCACAGCCTCATTTGCTTGTGCGACCCCTAAATCTGTCCCCCGTCGCTCAGCAGGGGGAGCTGTGTGCAGGGAAAGGAGAGGGAGGAGAAATTCCATTGTTGCAAGTGGGAATCCTTGCGCTAGTCGGATCCAGCTAAGTTGGATATTGCCTTTTGCCTGTTTTGTGTTTTACTCTCCTGCCTCTTGGTTTATGTGTCTTGTTAAGGACTTTCTCTGCTTTAAATCTTCCATTCTTTTATATTTTAATATTGATGACTGTCTTTTTAATTGTTAAGAGAACCCTTTGGGGCTGAAAGGGGAGGGTGCATGTTAATTAAATATACATTCATTTTTTGTGTCAGCAATAAAACAAAGCTAATGTCTGTAGTTACAATTTCTAAATATGTATACATTTTTCCTGAACAAGCATGAGCAACAACCAGTTGCTGTAGCAGTTAAAATGTACTGCTTTGCAACTAAATTTAAATTATGGTAAGCCTCTCTTAAGAAATAAAAGAGCAAATAAAATTGAACTGTTTTAAAAGGAAATCTGAGTTTAATACAGACATATGAACCAAAGTCCACACTTACTAAAACTGAATTATAATCCCCAAACCTTGAGTTTGATGGTCATAATTCAACACTTTTATTTATGCAAGAATGAGAACACTGTGGAAAGAGTGCGCCCCCTGCTGCCCAAGAAGAACTTTGCAACAGAGTGAGGACCGGCCTAGTCCCATCCATCAGCCAAGAAGGAGCAGCTGCAGGGAAATTTGCTTTGCCACCAGAAAGAACAAACAACTCCCAACCACTGGTTGCCCTAGGGCTGCAAAGGTGAAGGCAAGCATGCTCTGGCCTGTGCCAGGAAGCAAAGAGCCGCTTGGAGGTTGCATCCCCTGCCTTCTAGGAGCGACGACATGGCAAGGCAAGGAGGAGACCTTTCTGGCCCCATCCGTCAGTCCGCGAAAGAGCAGCTGCAGCAGAGAGCTCACTTCTCCCTTCCCTGCTGGAAAGAATTCACAGCTATGGTTGCCTTGAGATATTCCTTGGCCCAAGGGAGACTGCTGGGTTTTGTGTATGTATGTGTGTGTATTATTTGTTTGCCTTATTGCAGTGTGCTGTAAACGACCTGGAAGATAATTCCACCGAAAGGAGGAATATAAATCATAATAAATGAATAAACAGATCTGGACTCCCAAAGGTTCATGTTATTGCATAACTTTCTTCTAAGGCGTGCTTGACACCAGCTACCATAGGTGGCACAAGGACAAGGGGGCGAGTGCCCCTTTAAGACAGCACACCCACCCACCAACCCCAATATCTCTTTATTTCTTTGAGAAATCTAGCATGTTGTTGTTGTTCACAGACCTCATGAAAAGGTGTACATCAGAACAGGACTGCTCAGACTGGACTGGACCGCTCTAGTGGAACAGTGAGGGTTTTGGTCTGGTTTGTTAGAGTCTGCAATCTCAGTCTGCCCTCAGCCCCCACCTGCATGCCTCATTACTTACAAGGGAGTGGCGGTTGCTGTCGCCTTCCCCTTCTTCTTCATGGTTGCTTTCAAAGAACTCAACAAGGGAGGAAACTAGGATGAGCTGGCTCTGCCTGCCACTGCTTTGGCGCCATCTGCTGTTGGTCTCCCTGCCCTTCCACCGTCCACGTCTCACGTTCACTTACCACCTCTGCACAAGATTATTATTTTTTTACACCCCGCCCATCTGGCTGGGTTTCCCCAGCCACTCTGGGCAGCTTTCAACAAAATATTAAAAACGCAATAAAACATAAAAACTCCTCTAAACAGGGCTGCCTTCAGATGTCTTCTAAATTTCAGATAGTTGCTTATTTCCTTGAAATCTGGTGGGAGGGAGTTCCACAGGGCGGGCGCCACCAGCGATAAGGCCCTCTGCCTGGTTCCCTGTAACTTCGCTTCTCGCAGGGAGGGAACCACCAGAAGACCCTCAGAGCTGGACCTCAGTGTCCGGGCTGAACAATGAGGGTGGAGACTCTCCTTCAGGTCTACTGGGCCGAGGCCTTTTAGGGCTTTCAAGGTCAGCACCAACACTTTGAATTGTGCTCGGAAACGTACTGGGAGCCAATGTAGGTCTTTCAGGACTGGTGTTATATGGTCTCGGCGGCCGCTCCCAGTCACCAGTCTAGCTGCCGCGTTCTGGATTAGTTGTAGTTTCTGGGTCACCTTCAAAGCTAGCCCCACATAGAGTGCATTGCAGTAGTCCAAGTGGGAGATAACTAGAACATGCAACACTCTGGAAATGCCTTGTGGATCAATTACTTCGGACCTGTTGAACCTCTGGGTGGGATGCAGCACGAGGCTTGTTCTGCAACCTTCCAGAACACTCTTGCAACCCTACCTGTTTCAAATGGACATTCAGTCCTCTCTGTTTGGTGTTACACTTGCAGTCATAAAATCAGATTGCAAAGGAGAGACCTGTTAGGTGGGTACCACTAGAGACAAAGCAACATATAATATATATGGATTCATACCCTGTTTCCCATCCTTGCCAACCTAGCAGTTTGTAAGCACGAAGTGCAAGTAGATAAATAGGTACCACTCCAGCGGGAAGGTAAATGGCGTTTCCGTGTGCTGCTCTGGTTTGCCAGAAGCGGCTTAGTCATGCTGGCCACATGACCTGGAAGCTGTACGCCGGCTCCCTCGGCCAATAAAGCAAGATGAGCGCCACACCCAGAGTTGTCCACGACTGGACCTAATGGTCAGGGGTCCCTTTACCTTTACCTTTTACCCTGTTACCCAGAGTGACACCCCAAAAGTTAACCTGTCAGTCTGAAGAAGGTTGCCCTCAACAAGCCCTTCTGACTTCCATGGGAAGGATGCAGAAACTAAATTTCCCTGGGAATAATAATAATAATAATCTTGGAATGCAGCTCCCATTTGCCAAATTGAGTCACCTGCCTGCCAGTTGCTGTTGCCTATTGGAAAGTTTTTTAAAGAACGTTTTAAAATGGGAATCAAATGGGAAGGCTGGAGCTGCCCTGAAACATTTCACTTTCTGGGAAAACCAGGCGTGTTGTGAATATGACCGTATGTTGCAGTTCGCAGACTAAATTTGCACGGTTCCTTCTCTCCTTCAACCCCACGCCCTCTCCCTTGCACAGAAACGGAGGCTTCTTCAGAATACAGCGACGAAGACTACCTGGAAACGAGGCGAAGAAGATCTCGGCGCAATCAGAAGAGGCAAGTCAACTACAAAGAGGATTCTGAAAGCGACGGCTCTCAGAAGACCTTCCGATACGGGAAAGAGCTCAGAAGGATCCACAAGCGCAGGCTTTCCAGCTCGGACAGCGAAGGTAAAATAAAAGGGTTGCCTTGTAGTGCAAATTTAGTAGAGCTTTTTACCCCCGCAGAGAGGGAGAGAGCTGAGCCCAAAGGTCAGTTTGAAGAGGAATGTTTTTGCCGGGTGCCTAAAGGTGTATAATGAAGGTGCCTGGTGAACATCCCTGGGGAGCGCATTCCAGGGACAGGGAGCCACTGCAGAGAAGGCCCTGTTCTCGTGTTGCCACCCTCTGGACCTCTCATGGAGGAGGCACACGAAGAAGGGCCTCAGAAGGTGATCTCGGGGTCTGGTTAGGTTCCTATGGAGAGAAACAGTGCTTGAGGTATTCTTCAGAAGGGCTTCCTTCTGAATAAGCAAGCTTAGGATTGTGTTAGTAGCCAAAATATTGATCCAGGTGTTTGATGTGGGCCCTTCAGAAGTGTAAAGATGAGGAAGAGTTTTGAACTTCTGAGTATAGCAAAGATTCAGAACTAGTAAAGTCTCTAGCCGATATTTTGGACTACAACTCCCATCAGCTGCAGCCAGCACTGAAACCATGGATTGGTCGATCCTACGTATTCATACCAAACACCGCCTTTGTAAATAACGAATGTATTGAGTCTCATTTCTAAAGGAGATTTGAGAGAGCTACAGGAGGGAGATTTGGGGGCAGGTTTTAAGGGAAAGGGACATGGGGTGTATGTTAAAAGTACCAGTGCTCCCCCATCAAATGGATGCCATGGAAACACATGGAGGGTGGTTTAACTATTAAACTGCACATTGATAGGTGCCCACTAGTCTTCTGTGTTGCAGTTTTTATTTTCTGGTGGAAGCCCGCCAACTTCCGGTTCAAGCAGCTTGCATGCGGAGCGTTCTGTGTAAACACAGGAGAGCGATGATAGCTGTTGCATGCCTTCAGATTTTGCTAACGGCTTTAAGTCTGATGCTTGTTCCAGAGAGCTACGTGTCTAAGAACTCTGAAGACGATAAACCCACCCAGGTGTCAAAGAGATCCCTTCGGAAGCGCAGCCACAGCACGGACGAGTACTCGGAGGACGAGGACGGGGACAAGGAGGAGCGGCCCGTCCGGAAGCGGCTGAATCGCATCGAGACAGACGACGATGACAACTGCAGCAGCGCCAGCGAGGAGGCAAGCAAGCCTGCGCCTGCCGCCAGGCCTTCGGCAACCCACGGCCCGCAAGACGTCACCAAGAAGCCCTACCGGATAGAAAGCGACGACGAGGATGACTTTGAGAACGTCGGGAAGGTCGAAAGCCCGTTGGACTACAGCCTGGTGGACTTGCCGTCCACCAACGGACAGAGTCCTGGGAAAGCCATCGAGAACTTGATTGGCAAGCCCAGCGAGAAAGCTCCCGCCCCCAAGGACAGCACAGCCAATGCCAGCTTGGCACCCAACGGGACGAGTGGCGGCCAGGAGGCAGGAGGGCCAGAAGAAGACGAGGACGAACTTTTGCGAGTGACTGACCTTGTTGATTACGTCTGTAACAGTGAACAGTTATAAGACTTCCATTTTTGTGCTAATTTATTCCACGGTAGCTCATACCAGTGGGCCAGTTATTAAAAGGTGTTTTATTTTTCCTAGAAAACTCTCCACTACAGTATCACTTTTTAGCAGTCAAAAATTTCACCACTCCTGCAGTTCGGGGTTATTTTTTCTCTCTCCATCCCACCCCCTTCAACCCCCGGTGAAGTGACCAGTCGTCGTTTTCTCAGAACTCTCTCTCCCCCCTTTTTTTGTGGTGGAAATGATAATTACTAAAATTTCCCTATTCTGATTTGCTGCCTCCTCCACCTTTCACCCACTGCTGCAGTCCAGGTTAACTTCATCCACATGCAGACCTTGTAGTAAATGAGAGATTTGTATATTTTTGACTTTATATTTCCTGAGTGCACACAAATTGGGGGGGACAGGGGGCAGGGAGGCTGAAAGAAAGCATTCCAAGTTGGTCAGGGCCCAAAATCTGAACTGTGGTGGGATGGAGGGGGGGGGGAGCCGGGGGGCGATGTCGGGGTACAGAAGCACTTGTACTCAAACTTTTTCATAGGAGATATATATTCTATTTAAATGTTCACAACTTAGATTACAATTTAACATGCAGTTTTAAGGGGGAGGGGGGAGAAATCTTTACTGTTGCATTTTGTGACTTGTGGGTTGACTTGCCATAGTTCCTTTTAGTAAATCACTTTCCCGAAAAGCAACCTTGGTTAGAGAGAGAGAGAGAGGAAGAAAAAGCTCTCACATAAAATCATTTGATTCAAAGCTTCCCCAGCCCATCATAATTTTAACTTTTTAAAGTGTTTTGTACAGTAAAAAGTGTAAAGCTATATAACGAGCTTTTGACAATTTGGAGCCATGCTAGCAGCGAGTTGATAACGAGGCTCTTCTTTTTAATGCGTTAAATCTGCCCGATGGTCTCCGCATAGGATAACCTCTTGGGAGGAGATGCAGTTTTTGCTGTGAACAGATGACGGGGCTCCAGTAGAGAGATAACTGGCTGCTTTTAAAAACCCTTTCTGTGCTCTTAGAATCTACTTCAAATTGAAGTTCGCAAATGAAGCAGTTTTCCTTCTGGGAGGCTGTGTGTGTGTGTGTGTGTGTGTGTATGTAAAAGATTAATTTTACTTATCAGTCTGGATGTTCTAGCAGATTTTGACAGTAGTTACCTGGCCTATAGGCTCCTTCGTGTTTTTAATATGCATTTTAATAGTTGCCGCGTGACCAACGGATTTCTAAAGCAGGACATTTCTGGGGGAAATGCATGACCCCCCCCCTTCCCTGCAAGAAACTCCTGCTGTTGGAACTTGGGCAACATAACTCTGGGTGTGAGTGCCTGCTCTCTACTTCAAGAAAAAGTTTCTCTGCCCATTTTATAGCCAGTCAAACAAGAATACGGCTGGCCATGGTGTTTGCCACTTCATTCTTTCAGATGTGTGTCAGGCTCTGTTACTTTCTCTTGTCTTGTCTTGTCTTTTTCTTTCTACATGATTTTTCACACAGATGGTTGGAAGAATACTCTGCAGAGCTTTGAAATCCAAAACGGCCATTTTACTCTGGTTTTTTTTTTCCTCCTCCCCCTCAAAACAGGGTTTTGTACTTTATTCTGGTGCTGGGTCCATTGCTGGCAATGGCTGCACCAGTCTTGCTGTGGGCATTGAGCTCTTCTTCCCTTGAAAAAAAATTTTTTTAGGCGTTCGTCTGTAGCTGAGCACTTCCGTGTTGTTTGTTTGTCTGTTCCATTGTGATTTTAACCATGGCATTAGGCCTGTATAAAATACCTCGCACGAAAACCTTGGCTTCCCCAATTTTTTTTAATGGCCTTTAATTCATCTTTGGTTCCCTCTTTTCTCTCCCCTCCCCCTGCTCCCGATATCCGCTCTCTGTACATGGTAGCCACTCCACCCATTGTATTCTAGCAATGTGCATCTTCCACCTTTAGAATTCTAGAGCCCTCGGACCTTAAAAGAAAAATACTAGCTTCCCCAAGCGGTGTTTTATGTAGTTAACAAAGCGAAGCCTCCCAGGTTGTATCGCATTACTTTGTTAGCAGCCATCTATTTGAATAAGAGAATAAAGTTTAAAAGCCGCACAAACGCTGAAATCGTTCTTTAAACTGGTCCGTCGTCATTTCCTTCTGCTTGAGCACAGCACCTTTTCGCTCTCTGGGTTTGCAGCAGAGCAGCCCACGGTCGTTAAAATTCCTCAGCTAATGCAATTTCATGTATTATTATTTTTTAAAATAATTTTAGAAGATGCAGGATCTTGAAAACGTCTTCTCTTTCCCAAGAAGCAAGCAAATAGTCTGCACCTGCGCTCAGAAAAAGCAAAATGTACATTCCCAGTTGGTGGCGATTAAATTTTTAGATGCCATATCTTGGAACTCTAGGTGATGGCTGGGAAGATCACCAGCATTTAACTGCCCGTTGACTGGCTCACACATGACTCAAGATGCAGGCAGAGGGTAGCTTGAACCTCCTTTTTCACTAGTGTGAACTGGCTATGTGAGATCTCCTCTCCTCACTCCCAATTGCCTGACGTTTGCCTTGCTATTAGGTGTGAGGACATTATGTAAGGAGAGCTCTCTGGTAGAGCATTTGTAACTGTTCACACTGGGGAGTGGGAAAGAGAATATTGGATCCCCTTTTTTTGCAGGATAAAACTTCTGAGGTGCACAAGGGTACTTGACCCCAGGGCCATCTCAGAAGTCTCTGGGGGCAGGATGAAGCCCTACCCATTCCCAATTGCACATGTGTCTTTTCTCAGAAAAGGACGTCTGCTATCCTGCTACCTTGCAATTTTCACTGACCTTTAAGAGTGTCGTGTGTGTACCTGCAACTTCTTGAAAACAGAAGCCTCCTCAAGGAGCTCCTTCATCTTATACTTGCACTGTGGTTCTCTAGTTCTCGTCTAACCAAGCCAGAGACATCATTTGAGTGCTTGGCACCATCACCTCTCCAGCCCTGGTGGGTATTAAGTGCTTGGCCAGTAACGTGTAATGGACATTTGTGGCATAGAGGCAACTTTGAGCTGTTTAGCAGTCAAATAGGACGAAGGGAACTAGCTGAAAGCTTGGCTTGTGATGGCTTTGCCGAATGGACTTCAGGAGTTGTGTTTGAGAGAATTGTTCAGAACTCCACCAGGAACCCCTGGAAGCAAGAGCATCGGTTATTGATTTAAGTTTGCAGTGTTAGTGCTTCTGATGTTGGCAATAGTTGGAGGTATCAAACTAGAAATGCATGCAGAGGGCTTGCAAGTAGGACAGTAGAATTGCCCTGGAAGAAAGGAGAATGTTGGATATGTACTGTTTGTGTTGTATAAGGCACATTTGATGCTTCATGCACAAATAAATTCTGGTGGAGTCTCTTGAAAAGGACTTCTGCTTGTTGGCTATTAATTTAGGAAGTTACTCTAGCATGAAGTGCTAGAGCTAATCTTGGTGATCGCATTGACTTGCGTCTGGTGCCCTCCAGTGAAAATCAGGACCAAGTAGACTTGGTCTTATTTGAGCCAATCAGAGCATGGGCTTGTTCCCTCTTCTGTCCCCATTTTTCAGATTCTTGCAAAAAGCAAAGTGACAACTCCCCTCCCCATCTGTCTCGTTTAAGGGAACAGCTCTCGGCTGGAGTCATAGGATGGTAGTCAGTTGAGTTTTACTTGGAGTAGACACATTGAAATGAGTGAACATGACTAACTTGGGCCCATCAGTTTTGATAGGTCTGCTGGTTGAATAGTCTTTTCTGTTGCCTGGCCTCGTCTGGTTGTCAGAACGTGCTCATGGCTTTTGAGTAGAAGACTGCTGCTCTCTTTCTACGCAGCTGCGCTGTTGGAAGATTTGATCAGCCCTCTTGAGGCAAGCAGTGAATTGAGAATGAATGACGCCCCATGGACATAGATTGAACCGTAGAAAGGCGCAGAATTTGAAGAGAGGAAACCAACGAGAAACTGGTGAAAAGGGCTTCTTCTTCTCAAAGCGGGTTTCCACCGTTCTGCAGCATCGTGAGTTTTTAGTAAGAGGGCCAGAGAGCAAGCCCCACGCAGCTTTGTGTAGCAGAGAGGGTACAGTAAAATACTCATTTGACTTCCACGCCAACAAAGGTAAACATTTTTATAGTGACTAATGTGGCAGGCAAATGGTTCATCGCTGCAGGTTTGCATTCCCTAAGATGCTAGGAAGGCCACCTTGTTATGCTTTTTGTAATTTTATCTCGGCTTAGTTTCGTTTCTTGGACTGCCATTGGTGGACGATCAGCTATCCAATTTATCTCTCCAGCTTAGTGTGAAAAGCTGAAATACAGATCTTAGAGGCATATTTGTCCAAAGTCTGGTTCATTATTTTTTTTAAAGAATTAATCATTCAAGTAACAATGGTCACTGGAAGGCCAGTAATTTGAAAGGCAAGTCCTGCTACTTTGATTAGGAGATATTTTGTGTTGCTGTGTTGCATTAACACTATTCGCTATGCACAAATGTGTGTGTTACTGTGTTAACAGTAATGTTATACGTGAAACACCCTTCGTATGTTTTGCTAATTCTTTAAGAAGTGGTTCATTCTGGTTGAATTTGGAAAAGGCAGTCCTAGTAGTGTTCCTCCCCCCCCCCCCAAACTGAAGATCAGAAATATTTCCTCACAAATAATTTCACTTTGAATTGACAGGGATGCACATATCCTGTACGTGTGCATGTTTTCTTGGAAGTGAGACCCACTGAGTTAAAGTGGGACTTAATCACAAATCAGTGTGCATAGGATTGCAAAATAACTTACTGGTAAATAATCATTATCGATTTAAGATCTGTTTCATTTACCTTTTCAACGGGACCTGCAAAGCAAGAATGGGAAATTTCTCCCAGTATATTGATTGAAACCCTTCTTAAACTCCTAATTTTATGCTTCCCTTTGGGAAGAGACCAGAGGATTCAAAATGTCTGGAAAGCTCTTCAGTGTTTATCATTATGCCACACCTCACAGCTGGTGCATTAAGTTCTGTAGCTTGTTGAGCAGATTTTGATGGTCTCCCTTTAAGGTTTCCCTTTTCGTCCGGCCATTTGTGGGCTCGTTTTTACGTTTGGGTGGACGTACCTCCCTCCCAAATTAGTGTGCAATCTCACTTCCTCCGTGGAGACATGCAGGGGGGATGTCCAGCACCATAAGCCTTCTCTATTCTGCACTCACAGTTTCCATCCCAGTTTTATCCCTTCTCCTTGAATAGACTGAACCTGTAGTACATAAGTAACGGGGGGGGGGGCTGAAGAGAGAATGGTAGGGAGCCCCAATTCCAGCCCCTTAAACCTGTTTCCCCCAGATCATTGCTTGCCGAACCAGTATCCCAAGTCCTGTTTGATCTAATGCACAATGTAAATGATGGAGCCATTCCCACTTGTAATCATGGAACCATAAATACATTTTGTTTTGCAAACGTAAGCACGGCAGTGGAAGGAGGAAGCAGAGGTTTGCAAAGGCCAGGGAACTTGGTGTGTGTGTGTCTCAGCGTTGAATCGCTGCCCATTGAATGCTGGCCCATTGAATGCTGCTATATCCATTGACTGGGATTTGTTTGGGGATGCCTGGCAGAAATAATATTCTAGCCTTGTGATGGTGGCAGACTTGTTGCAAGGCCCTGGGTATTGTGCATTCAAATACATGGTGTGCAGGTGTTTGGCTTGGGAAATGCTTCTGAGACTTTAAAATGGGGATGACTCTATGCTTGGGTGTGTGTGTTTATATAGATATATCTACACATACAGATGTGTGCACACATCAGAAAGGGTAGCGGACACACAGCCCCGATTAAACGGAAGCCACTGATCCAGATCTTAAAGGGCTTTTCCCTGCCTCCCAGCTAGAAATATGAATGTTACCAAACAATGGGCATGTCATATTGCTACCCTGCATAAAGTGTTGCCCTGCAAACCGTATTGTTAAACTGAACGTGAGAAATCTGCAGTGTGTGTGATTTTTCAGGTACTAAATGTGTGTCTTTTAAATTGTTGCACGCCTGTGAGTGTCACAGTTTTAATACCTGTGTGTGGGCACATTTGACTGAATACATGTTCAGGTGTCAGTGGGGTTTCAATGCTTAGCCATGGTTTCTTGGAAAAACCTAGAAATGGGTGTTTTGACCCCCCCCCTTAAAAATCATGTCTGGGGTACAGCTCTGCTACTATGAAGCAAGCAGAGTTTAATCAGTCACCTTTAAACATGTGCATGAAGGAAGCTACCCAAAGGAATATTGGCTTGGGTCCGTCCCTAAAGTGATGCAGAATAAGGTGACAGAAACCTGGACTTGGACCACTTGAGAGACGGCATGCAAGCAAGATGATTTTTAAAGGTTTTCCTACATAACAAGCACCCTCTGCAGAGTAAATGTGCATCCCTGCATGGTGTTTTCTTTTTGTTTTTAGGATGAAGGAGCATTCAGAACTCTTACCCATTGCATGCAGTCTGCAGTGGTGCAGTCCAGAATTCTGCCAGCTTAATTCTGCATAATTCCAGAACATCTCTTGACTTCTAAATCTATGCGGCTGATTTAAAAACCTTTTAAAGGATCTGGTTCTCCCCTCCATCAGTCCTCAATGTGTTAAAGGCATCCTGACAATTGGATGCCTTTAATAAACTAATTTAGTATTGTGTGGTGGGAAATGTCTGCCTCTATGGGAGTAATAATCTTCCTTCCTTCCTTCCTTTCCTTCTTCCTTCCTTCTTCCTTCTTCTTCTTCCTTCCTTCCTTTCTTTCCTTTCCTTTCCTTCCTTCCTTCCTTCCTTCCTTCCCCCACCTTAAAACTTTGCGACCTATCCAGCATAAATGGCATACTCTATCCTCTTTCGATTTCAACAGGGGAGTGTTCAGGACGGATGTAACTATCGCATTGCACTTTCGCTTGGCTTGATTATGTCAGCCCTCCAAACAAAATAGCCAGTAAATAGCTGCCTTTAAAATAGCACTGTTTGGAATGTTTCATAAATTGCATACCATTGAAACAGGGCTTTGGGTGCAGAGAAGCAGAGCATACGACGAGGATTGGGATTTCTGCAATGCCGTGTGCATGTGAAAGATTTAAAGGCCTAATTAAAGCTGTGCAACAAGAGATCTTAGCA